CTCTCCGGGGTAATTTCTCACGATCCTCGCATTGGCTTGCTGTAAAAATACCTCGTAAAAGTGACTCATTAGCATCACATGAAAAAACTGCATTTGTTTCAGCACGTTTATCAGTAGATCCACACCGAGGATGTTTCCTGTGCTCGGACGTAATAAGACCACTGTCCGGCGAGATGGACAAGGAAGCTTGTAGGTTTCCTCACATTCAGACTAGAAATAGCCCCGCTCTGTGGGCACGGATCCAGAGATTGTTTCTCTGGACCTGTGGAAGTGAGAGGATACAGCAGCGTTTGGATACGATCCTGTCAGTGGGAAATGATTTGTGTGTGTGTGTGTGTGTGCGTATCCGTGTGAATTTCAGGCCACCCGCTGTGGGATTTAAATGCTAATATTGTTAAAGCTTTAAAATGGGTAACTTGACAGTAACTGATGATGTTTCATGTGTATGTTTATGTGTGTTTCTTCCAGTTGTGTGTCATTCTGGAGCCGATGCAAGAGTTAATGTCCCGACACAAGACCTACAACCTTAGCCCGAGAGACTGTCTAAAGACCTGTCTGTTCCAGAAGTGGCAAAGAATGGTGGCCCCTCCAGGTAACAGCAAATCACTGTCCTCTCCACTGTATTTATGGAACGGGGACACTCCTAATGGCAGTAATTTGTGATCTGATCTGATCCTCACGGATGTGTGTGTTTAACGTCATGGTCTTAGGGAATATATTCAGCTCTTCGGTTGGACCTATCAGGGAAAACGAGTGGTAATTTTGTGGTTTTACACTCTTACGTGAGCCTCTCCATCATTATTGACTGTATATCATACTAGAACAGACTTGCTAGTTTTAAAACCCTAAATGTTTGGACATTTGAGCCAAACTTTAAAAATGTATGAATGTCATAGCATTAAAAAAAGGAAACAAAGTGTCTGTGGTAGTGTATTTAAAGCTACACTGTGTAACTCTTTTAGTTTGTTCTTAGCTAAAAACACTTAGTTCTTTCAAAAATATATGTGCTCATTAATGTATATTTACTTCGTTTAAGTAATAAAGTATTCTCGTGAGTGTATAATATGCCATTGAAAATACATACAAGTAAGGGGTTCTGATGTCGGTCGCCATGTTGCCCCTCCATCTTGAAAGTACATGAGCCAAAGAGGGACATACCCGTTAATTCAAGCTTCGCCTTTCGCGTTTACGTTTGAGTTAACACTCATGGACGAGGTCGAACTGGTAGCTTTAACGAGCAATTCATTTAGCAGGGTATCCCTCATTTTTTTCCCGTGAATTTTTTTTATTCATGCCTTAAAATAGCTTGAATGTAAATCTACACCCTTTCTTTATTTACTACACTCGGTCGGAACCATGAATATGCTAATTAGCCCCGCCTCCACTCGGTCAGATTTACTGTATAAATGCTTTACGATGGTACGTGGAAATAACTGGTTTAATTCAGCCATAAATGTTTGAACCAAAAATTGATTCAGAAGAAGTGGAAGAGCGAATTATACAGGCTCGATGTCAATGTATCAGAATGGTATTGCATTTTATGTGTCGCTCTCTACAACATAACGGTAATTATTATGATTATCCTTTTGCTTGACTACGTTATCAAACAGCTACTGATGTGTCGCTTATGTTACACAAACTATGTTCCCATTTGCTATCTCAGAGGCTTACAACTCCCATCTAAAAATTAGTACAAACGCTTTGAACAATGCTTTGAAAGGCATATAGGCATGTATGATAACATAGTAATATACATCATTTACATAATCAACCCGCTACATTGCTAAATGTGCCTGATTTGTAATATCAATAGAAAAATATAACTCCCCTGCTTCATTGCAGTTAATAATAATTTTTACATTTTTTTTTCATTGCAGTTTAAAAGAGAAAATATTTAGCAATGTTGCTAACTTATGAATTTGCACATGGTTTGTCTTAAAGGACAACTCTGGCACAAAATGAACCAACTGTTCTCTGAGATTTGTTTTCATGATAATCGAATGTAAAGAGTTTGATCTTTAAAAACTGTTTAGCATATAATGCTAGGATATAGGGCATCGAGTAATGAAAAATCGCGGTAACACTTTATTTTACGACCTGCAAACAACTGCATTAGTACACCGAAATTACATTGTACGTTTCTGTAATTATAGTGTACTTCCATGTAGGTATAAGGGAACAATAAAGGGGTAACAAGCAGATATATAACCTGCAAATAACTTCATTTTTTTGGTCGTAAAATGAAGGTTGTATAAGTAAAGTGTTACCAAAATCGCTAGTTGATACCACTAACAAGGCTCAACATAGTCCCACACTAACACAGTAACATAATGACTTCGCGTATACAGGCAGGAGCCATCTTTGGAAAACCAGTCTCAACCAGTCAAACCACGACCATGGATTTCATTACTCTATGCACTATATACTAGCGTAATGCGCTAAACAGTTTTTAGAGATAAAACTCTTTACATTCGATTATCATGAAAACAAATCTCAGAGAACGGTTGACTATGTACCAATGTGTTAATAGACCAAAGGTTCATTTTGCGCCGGAGTTGTCCTTTAAAGCACATTAAAAACACCACATAGACGTAAACAACATTACAAAACTTGATTTTCACCACAGGGGGACTTTTAAATCACTGCATTTGGCAGATGACGAAGGGATTAGACATCTGTAGATATTTCTTTGACGCCTTTATATGTTCCTCAGGGGGTCAAATCAATCAATAACAACGATTTAAACTCATCTTTAGAACACACAAAGGGTTTACTATACATTATGATCTAAACAGTGACAACATGACATGTATGAGCCTGAAAACACATCCTTCATCCGCTCCCTGTGGATGAAACCCTGTACGACCCTCGCCCACTCTTTAGGCGTCAGCACTGGCCTTCTCACAATTCGTATCGAAGTGGATCTTCTGTAATTGTCGTTTCCTTATTAGCTTTGCTTCCCTCTTTCCTCCCATTCTTTTAAAATCTGGAGAGCATTTTGTGTTCAGGAACAGGAAGGAAAGAAGGTTGCCTTTAAACACTGATAAGTTTTTTTTTTATTGCCTCTTTTTTCACATGTATGTGTATGTGTGGAAATGAGCACGTTTTAGTACGTCATTCACACACTTGCACTGATAAAAATACAAAAATAAAGGTTCTTCTCTCTAAAAAAAATGTCCTTGCACAGGCTGTTTATTATTGGATACGTCTTTATGTGAAATCTGTCATACACAAACAATGTGGACATCTCCCTGTGTGTGGTTAGAAAGAACCTCTAAAATGTATTTCATTTTCAGAATTGCATTCAAATTTACATTGACTAACAATGTGCCAAATATTTTAATTGTTATACTGAAATTAAATTAATATATAATAATAATAATAATAATAATAATAATAGTTATAATACATGGCTGTACAGAACATTCTTTACAACATTTGCTAACTTTTATTTTTATGTATATTGTATATAGTTTAGGGTTTGGAAAGATTTAAGAAGTACCAATGTTGCATTTATTTGATGAAAGGTAGAGTAAAAACAGTTATATTGTAACTGTTATATTGTAAACATTTTATTTCTTTATTAATGTTTTAAATGTGATTTATTTCTGTTCAAATGTATTTTAAATAGTATTTATTCCTGTAAATCTGATTTTTAAGCATCATTGATTACTCCTGTCCTCAGTGTCACAATCATTCCATTCTGCTCAAGAAACATGTATTGTTATTTTAAGAAATCTTATTATTATAAGTATTTAGTTAAATTATAATTATTATATTTAGTTATATTATAATTATTATTTTTGTCTGCTGTTATCAGCAGTCTTGCCATTTACATTTGCTTCTACAGTACATATGTATTCTGGTCCTTGATTTGCATAACTACTTAATTATTTATAAGTATTACCTGGAAAATAAATCTTGCTTTGGATATGGTTTCAGCTGGACATCCACAGAACTTCAAAACAGAAATTTTCCCCTCAAATCACAAAAAAGGTACTTGTCTCGTCTTCTGAATCATCTTCTAACAGGGAAACCTCATTCTGTGTCTAAATGGAAACCTATGAAATACATTTTCCTCTCTGTTTGAATCATGAATGCTCAGCATAAAAAGAGAGATATTGCATGTGGATATTTCAGTAGTCACAATAAATAGGCAATTTGTTTGACTAAAACTTGTTTAATTTCTTCATTAAAATGTATTACAGGTTACATAAATGTGTTACATAAGTTATCCAGGACTTATAAATCTAATTTTAAAGACTGTGATATTTAATGAAAGTAAACAGCATTGAGACATTAATGATATAAGCGTGCATGCATGGCTGCAGAGACTGCAGTGCGCACTGTTGAGCATTTATGCAAATGAAAACAGAGGTTCTTTCTTACTAGTGCATGTCTTGGGAGATGTTTAAATGCCCTTTGATTCTTTCTCTCTCTCAAAAAAAAGAAAAAAAAGCATGATGCATTTGTGTATTCGCCCCTATGTTTGTATGCTCTCATATGTTGGAAAAGTCTTTTTTCTTCCTCCGTGTGCATGCACTCGCATTGTGGCGTTTTTGTGAGTGTGGATGTGTGCGTTTGTCTTTTATTAATACTTCTCGTCTGTGTGTGCTTGTGTGCTTGGTGGAGAGCAGAGCCCACTCGACAGACCACGACCAAGAGAAGAAAGAGGAAGAACTCCGCCAGCAGTGCGTCTAACAGTAGCCTAGGCAACAGCGCTGGCGGCAAGAAACGTAGCCCTGCCAACAACTTCACTCTGGCCAGCCAGGTACCTGTAAGCATCAAATCTTCTTATTTACACACACACACACACACACACACACACACACACACACACACACACACACACACACACACACACACACACACACACTGTATCCATCCAAAAACGTTATTGTTATTTTGCTCAGGTTGCTTTCCTAAGGATATGATTATAATTAGGGTGTCTAGTGATGCACCGATGTGAAAATTTGTGGCCGATACCGATAACCGATATTAACATTGCTGTTATGGCCGATACCGATATTTACCGATGTCGATATCCCTGTATAGAAAACACATAGCGAGGATTAGGGCTGCACGATATTGGTAAAAAATGACATTGTGATATTTTATTTTTCTGCGATATATATTGTGATATAAAAACAATTTCACCAGATTACTTAAATTGCTCTATTTGGAAAGAATGAATCATTCTAGAATGACTGGGGTAGTTTTGTCATGGAGTATATCCACAGAAACTAATATTAATAGAATGTTAACAAAATTTGTTAACATTCTATTAATCTATTAACCTTACACTTTACAAGAAGGTTCCATTTATTAAAGTGTTCATTTAATGTACACTTTAATAAATGGAACCTTATTGTAAAGTGTTTCCGATTTATGTATCTTGAGCTCAGTGTTGGACAGATCAGTTGTTTTAACCATTCATTAAAGTGAATCGGTTCAAAGGAGTCATTAGTTCGCGAATCGGACGTGTCATTAACGGAACCACGGCACACGTTGTGTGATTATCCAGGCAGTTTAGAACATCGCACGAGATTTGTCTCGACTTATTTTTACAGTCTATGGTCTCGACAGTCGACACAGAAAACATTTCATCAACACGATAGATTTTTTTTTTGGTTTATTGAAAGTGTGGTTTCACAATTCACAACCAGTAGTTCAGAAGAAAAAAACTTCGGTCTTCCGACCTTTTACCATCGTGTATTCTCAAAGATATTCAGTCAACTCAATTCATAAACATGCGTGAGGGGGAGAGAGAGCAAGACATTTTGAAGACGGCGCGCGTGACCGGTGCTTTCACTCTTGTTCCCTCCGTTAAACAAGCGAAAGACATTTTGAAGACGGCGCGCGTGACCGGTGCTTTCACTCTTGTTCCCTCCGTTAAACAAGCGAAAGACATTTTGAAGACGGCGCGCGTGACCGGTGCTTTCACTCTTGTTCCCTCCGTTAAACAAGCGAAAGACATTTTGAAGACGGCGCGCGTGACCGGTGCTTTCACACTTGTTCCCTCCGTTAAACAAGCGAAAGACATTTTGAAGACGGCGCGCGTGACCGGTGCTTTCACACTTGTTCCCTCCGTTAAACAAGCGAAAGACATTTTGAAGACGGCGCGCGTGACCGGTGCTTTCACTCTTGTCCCCTCCGTTAGCGAAAGACATTTTGAAGACGGCGCGCGTGACCGGTGCTTTCACTCTTGTTCCCTCCGTTAAACAAGCGAAAGACATTTTGAAGACGGCGCGCGTGACCGGTGCTTTCACACTTGTTCCCTCCGTTAAACAAGCGAAAGACATTTTGAAGACGGCGCGCGTGACCGGTGCTTTCACTCTCTCTTGTTCCCTGAGTTAAACAAGCGAAAGACATTTTGAAGGCGGCGCGCGTGACTGGTGCTTTAATTGACTCTCGTTCCCTCAGTTAAACAAGCGCACCAGTCACTCATCTACATCACTTACCGGTCAAATATGGCTTTGGCGGGACAAAAATACGCATTAGGAAGGCTGGCAGAAAACAGCTCACCAGTTCCAGTCTTCGTGCGCTTGATGTTTAAACGCACTTGCGCTTTTAATACGCGTGCAAAAACAAACATCCCCGCCCCCACGCAAGTCAAATACACAGGGAATGATCATCGGCCTGTTCACATCGGCCCTATTTTGACATCGGAACGATACCGATGTGTAAAAAATTGACCAAATCGGCCGATATTATATCGGCGGCCGATATATCGTGCATCACTAAGGGTGTCAAAACACAAAAGGTGAATTTATTTCGAGAAAATTATTTATTTGCATAAATGTCTTAATTATTTGTTTATTTTCAATATCCGAAATCCTTGTCCTTGTGGAGACATTTTTTGGCCCCCATGAGAAAAATAGCTTATAAATCATACCAAGTGATGTTTTTTGAAAATGTAAAAATGCATACATTTTTCTGTGATGGGTAGGTTCACGGGTGGGTTAGTGTTGGGGATAGAATATATTGTTTGTACTGTATAAAAACCTTGATGTATCAGTTGATTCAATATGTATATATATATATATATATATATATATATATATATATACAATGTGTGTGTCTATGGATAGATCGATAGATCAATAGATAGATAGATAGATAGATAGATAGATAGATAGATAGATAGATAGATAGATAGATAGATAGATAGATAGATAGATAGATCAATAGATAGATAGATAGATAGATAGATAGATAGATAGATAGATAGATAGATAGATAGATAGATAGATAGATAGAATGAAAACTAATGATGACTAGGTCCATCAAGTTCCAAAATTACATTAACAGTACCAAAAACTGTTCATACAAGTAGTCCATATGATTTCTGCGCTATATAAATATTCTTGGCCATAGCTCTCCTTGCGCACGTTCATAAAAAAAGTAGAAACGTCTGATCCATAAACAAAACTTTATTTTTAGTAAAATCTTTTCAGTGAATCAACTGATTCTTTTAATAAAACCAGACTGAATTATTTGTTTATAAAACTGACTCGGTCAGCCTGCTCAGTCAACTCACTGATTCAGTGATATGTTTGCAATTGTTAACGGCACACTGAACAGCACCATCAGAATTTTTTCTTTTTGTGTTTTTAACTTAAAAAAAAATCAATTCATACAGGTTTGGAACTGCATCATTGTGAGTAAAAGACAGATTTCTGGGTGAACTTTCCTTCAAATTGGATTTTGTCTGTATTGATTCGCACCTTTAACAACTAATGACAATTACAATGGCATGTTATGGTAATGTGAAGTTTGTTCATGGTTTGAGTTTTGGGCCATGAAACAGATATTAAACATATTCAATTCCAATGCCAATGCCAAAGTAAAAACACTCTCAGCACCTTCACAGAGAGAGACTCCTTAGCTCTCATTTTCAATTCCTATATTACCCACTTACAGTGTTTAACCCCAATACAGAGGCATTTATCCCAGAGTGCCTCTTTATCCCCCAGGCTTCCTTTTCAGGCATTACTCTAGCGGTTGATGTGTTCTCCCAGTTTGCACACAGGGTCAAACGCACAACACACGAGTGCGAAAGCTGTTTTGGGGAGTGGTATTGTGAGGCGGTAAATTTGTTTGCAGATGGATGATGGGATTTGTAGTGCGTGGCTTTTCCCCTGGAGTTCAGGGACACTTGGATACATGAATGCCATAGAGGAGATTAAAGAGAAGAGACACCCTCGTGTTCCAGCCGAGTCTGTCAAAACCAGAGCTGTTTGGTTACATGCTCTAAAGGATAAAAAATTTGTTCTTCGTTAGAAGAAGAATCCTCAGGAAAAAAATACAATTGTATCAAGCCTTTATTTTAACTTTTTCTTCAGCTCAGCGTTTTAATAATGATAAACAATATACAAGTGCATATAGTGTTTGGGGTTTTTTTACAGGATGGCCAATGCCAAATATAGTAAATTATATATGTTCATATTATATTATTATGAAATAAATATTATTAATAATATATATAAAATATAATGTATAATATATATATATATATATATATTAATAATATAATAATATTATTCAATGTATCATTGTATCATTAAATATGAAAAAAAAATTTATTGTATATCTATATCAGGGTTTATTTTAGTATTTCAAATATACCACTATAATATTTATTTATTAAAATAATGAATCTGCTTACTATATTTCAATTTTGAGTTTAAGTTCTAGTCATTTCTATTCATTTTCTAATTTCTATAATTTCATTTTTAAGCGTGGCCTTTCATGTAATATTTATATTTTATTTCAGCTTTTTAGATTTAGTTAACAAAACAGCCGTGATCTGTATAAGTGAATTGTATATAATGTGAATTTCTCTCTCTGTGTAGGTAACTCTAATTGCATATATTTTGTCCTGCTTGTATCTAGCAAGTGTCCATCATTTTAAGGACAGCAGACACATTCACACAAGCAGTGAGAAAATTGTTGGTGTGAGCAACTGGCTCTGTGCCAGCACTCATTATCATATAGATGTGTGTGTGTGCGTGTGTGTGTGTGTGTGTGTGTGTGTGTGTGGTCATACGGGTCTGTGTCACAACACTCTTCATTTTACTCCCCATTCGAAGCAGTGAGCCTCGTTGTAAGCAATGTTGCCTCGCGTCCTGGAGAGGAACACGCTGGTTACATATGTAGTGTGGCCACATGGCTTTGTCTGTGCAGTCATCGCATGCTGCCAGATCAGCCTCCTACGTGAGCCCAATCACAATGAGCTGATCATGTGATCACCGGGTTGGGGAGGGGGTCTCGTGTTCAACAGTATTACAACAGTGCCCTCTTGTGATCATATTTTTGTCCTGAAATAATGATTTAATTGATAGCTGTGCATGTGTAACATGCCTGGATATGTGGATGGATTGAAATTTTCTCCAGTCTTAAAAAATGTCCAGCTCAAATGAGGGCTTTCTGTGCTCCTCGAGCTCAGATCCAGTGTGGGATCATTCATTCAGGTAGTCTGTTTGTATAACTGTGGGCGGCTCAGTGTGGGTTTAGCCACAGGCTACATCTAATTAGACAAGAGCACTGGACAGCCTTTCCATTTGATAGCAATTAGAGCTCTTCGTCAAACCACCAGCTGGAAACATGTAGGTTGTGTGAGCACGTCTGTGTGTATGTGTGTGTGTGTGTGTGTGTGTTAATGTTTGTGATCCTGGCCCCTGGTTTAAACCCCAGACTGCAGGGCGACAGTTGCCGTTCAAAAACAGATGGCAAAGTCAAGCCTCGTTGGCAAGCTCCATTCTTTTTTCTTTTTTTTTCTAATCGGTAACATTTCAGCTAATGACTTAATTAGCTATGCAAATTGACAAATCAGTGTGTGGATATTGTTATTTAGTCAAAAAGCCCACCTTAATGAATGAGAGTAATTAAGAAGCAGAGGGGTGGGAAGGGCTGACAGTGACTCTGGGGTCTCAGCCAAACCCCCTCACGAAACGACACGAGAGCCATGGCACACAAATAAACACAGATGCAACGGTAAAAGAGCTGAATCACAAGACAGGTTATGCAAATTGAGCAGCTCCAGGAGTGTGAAGGGTATGAGGAAAACAGAAAAGTAACTGGAAAATGTATGCATTGACAATTGGTAAGATATGACTGTTCACAATACATTTACTAATGTTAAAGGGTTAGTTAACCCAAAAAATTAAAAGTCACTATGTGACTAAATTCCGAAAGTCTTACAGGTTTGGAACGACATGAGGGCGAATAATTGATGACGGAATTTAAATTTTGGGATGAACTAACCCTTCAGATTAATATATCTTAAAATGTTAAATCTATTTTAAATTGTAATAATATTTCATAGTATTGCTGTTTTCGCTGTATTTTTAATCAAATAAATGCAGCATTGCTGAAAGACTTATTTTGAAAGCATTAAAAACACTTTACCGATCTCATACTTTTGAACGGTACTGTATGCATAACCAACATAATAAGTTATGTAAAGTTCATTGTTAGTTTATTGTTAGTTGAATTGACCTTATTTTGTTATGTTACTGGGCTGATAGCATTTGCCATTTGCAGAAATTTGAATTAAATGCTAAACTGCATTTGAAATGCAATCACAATGATTAATAGGCACACTGACATTCAATTTCATTGCTTCTGTTGTAAAAATAAATAAATAATTTAATGTCATACTAAAGTGTCACACACTTCAGTTTAGCTTCGCCCAAATTATAACACTAGAGAACTTGACTGCATAAATATTTCATTAGAAACTTTTTAATGCTTTGCATTTTAGATACATTTATCTTAATTAAAAGCAACAAATATTAAAAATAAATTTATTTTAAAATGTATTGTAGACATTTTAATTAAAAGCAACAAATCCAGTGGAAAAAAAATGCACATCCATTTGACTAGGTTTCTAACATCAGAACATTCTAATTAACAGTATTAAGTGCAAAAAGATAACAAATAAAAGTACTACAAATATATTAGTACTCTTTTTCTTATTGCAACAGTCATTTGGTCAACCTATTTACTTTGCATTTTGACTGATCTGTGTCCAATTATTTATTTGCCCACATTAATGTGTCTCAGCAAAACAGATATGAATGCAGTCTATAACCACGCTAAATGCAAATTCACTTCCCCGATGCTAAAGCTGGGACTCTGTTGAACTCTCAGCCAAATATTGTTTGAGTTTCAATCAGTGCATCTCATCTTTGTTTGCTCACTCATGTGGATTGCGGAGCTCCTAAACTTCTGTATGCTGACGTAGGTCTGTCCCATATGGATCTAATATTCTGTTCCCTTCAATATGAGACAATTGGACTCTTGGCAATGGGAGCTAGAGGAGTAGACAATGAGGCAGACAGGTAAAGATAAAGAGCTCCCATGCTGCAGCGTGTCGACACACATGATCAACGAAGCATGTGCTCCAGTTAACTGATCAGTTGAGCCTGAGAATTCAACTAGAGAAAGAGAGAGAGAAAAAGTAAAGAACAGAAAACTTGTGCTGAAGTAAAACAAACATCCAGGTCTGATATTGTCAAGAAATAAAAACATTTTTAACTAATAAATCACACAATTGATTGCTATTTTATATATACATACACATTATTTTTAGAACATTAAAATACAATTTAAAAAGGTTGTAACTAATTAATCTCAATTCAATCAATTAATCACATCACATCTTAATATATCTTATTTAATATATTTTGAATATTTTGAATTTGAATGTACTACATTTAATACATTATTTTTTAAATATAGTATTACTAATAATGTATATAAATCTGTTTATTTCCTATATTAACCATTTTATCTGGTGCTTGCTAAGGTCAGGGTTAGGGATCACTGGTCCTTCACCGTCCAACATTGGTAGTGTTGATCTAGTTAGTTTTTTCACAACTTGTCTTTCATATTGTTCTTCTTTTGTCAGTTTTTTTGACTGTGTAAATATTTATTGCAGGATGTGATGGTGGTAGGTGAGCCCACTCTGATGGGCGGGGAGTTTGGCGATGAGGACGAGCGTCTGATCACGCGGCTAGAAAACACACAATACGACGCCACCAACGGTCTGGACGATGACGACGACTTCACGAGCTCGCCGGCGCTCGGCAACAACAGTCCCTGGAACAGCAAGCCACCCACAGGGCAGGACAGCAAGCCCGAGAGTACGGCCTCGCAGCCCTCTCAGTAGGAGACAACATGCGCAGTGCCCAGTTGAACCACCAGGGCGGCGCACTCCCTCTCTCTGACCTCACTTTTTACCCTTGATGATGTTAATCCCATGTCATGGTGTTAATGATGTCATCCATTTTCACCAGAAACTGATGGTTCCTCTCCGTATTTTGGGTAACATTTAGGAACTTCACTGACCAAACTTTGGCAGCAATATTTGCTCACTGGATTTTTTAAAAATCATCTAGCTAGGCTACAAAGCAGCGTAAGTAATGTGACTCTTGGAGGAACTGGACTTTATTAAGGCTGAATGAGGTCTGAATTAACAGAGACCTGAATTTGGGACAACTTTGGCCCAATAATCATTGTAAAAACAAAAACTACCGTCTGTCTCGAAGTTCATCACATATCTCCGTAGTGACTTCGGTTGCCAACCACATTCAACGTCAACCAATGCTGGAGAGATGGTCATGTTGGCTGTCCTCTAATTGAAGACTGGAACTGCAGAGGCATCCACCGAGACCAATCCCTGAACATTTGCATTTTTATTGGAAATTTGTTTGGCTATTGTCTTCTTCCCTCTGCTTTCAATTAAAAGTGAACCGCCTTGCATTTCTTCAACACAACAGACTGTATTAACAAAGACCGCTTGTATAGAAGAGTCAGTTACCATTTACAAATTGTACTTTAATTCAAATATTCCTATTTGATTTCAGAGTCAATGTGTTATTTTATTAATTTGTGACTATTATGTGTTCTCCTCGTACATTTGGAGTTTTTTGACAGGCAGGCACATAAAGATTATTTGTCCATCTTCCGTCTATTGACTTAATTTCTAAATGGACCATGTTACGTTTCTGCATGACATTTTGAAATCTGTAACATGTTCATTGCAGTTTGAAAGCACAGTATCCAGGGTTTTAACTTCGACAGTAAAAATGCGTTCTGCTTCATCTGATGTTGTGAAACCTTGATGTAAACGAGAGCTGTTTTGACATTTACGAATTATTTGACTTTTTTATATAATGGATTTCATACACAGGAATGAACACCATACTGAGAAATGAGAATGTTAAATACAGATCACTGTAAGTCCAGCCATAAATATTCTGTTCATTAGCTTTAAATGAGTTTAAATAACATATGGCAAGCTTTATACATATCATGCTTTTAATATGTATGAAAACAGCCCTTTTATCTGAAAATCATCATTCCAGAAACTGCAATGTCCTTTCAGCAAGTTATGTGATCACGTTTATACAGCTTTATGTAATTTATGTAGCTAGATACATGCACCTTTTCTCCATATACTGTACATTGGATTTGTAAGTCCCTTTAAAAGTTGCATAGTGTGCTTTAATGATTAAAAGTATGATGATGATGATGACAAAGAGCCAAATATTTCTTTTTTAATTAGTGTCTTTGTTTCTATAACGTTACTTTATTAAAAAAAAAAAAAAAGTATTTCCGGAATATTCTCAAAGCCTGAGATATGTTCAAAACAAGACACAATATCAGCCACCCACCGTTTTATCCTTGTATTATTGAAACTCTGCACAATTTGTAAAATATTTAGTGTTTTTTGTGTCATATCCAAAAATTCTTCTGTGTATGCTCTGCCATTTTGTGTGCCAATAAATTGTGCTTACAAAACTTTTTGCATTAATATTTCTGCCCCCTCTAACTCAAGGTTTACTTTGTCCCACACTTCGTGAGTGCAATCTGCCATAAAAATGAAAGGAAGAACTTTGTGTTTGTGTGTCTGTCTGTGTGTCTGACCTGACTTATGACACATCTCTCGACCGCATCCACCGCACTCTTCGTTCTGCCTCTTGTCTCAAGAAAGCCCCAATAGCGCCACCCTGTGTTCAATATGATCACACACTAACCACTCAGTGAAATATTTTTACTTAAAAATCCATTATATTCCTGCTTGTATTATTTTGCTACATTTCAATTTATTTCAGTAAATATTATACATTAATGGGGGGGGGGACTAATTACAGTTAAAGTATAGTATGTTCCTATTGCAACTTCTGTGATATTTCTATAACGTGCTGCTTATTCTGCATAACGTTACTTTGTTTATCAATATCACGTGCAAAATGTGTGATGACGCCACAGCGAAAATGGCGGATTCGCCGGGTCCGATCGGGACGTCAGACGAAAAAGATTCCGAAAATGACGAAATCACGAAAGGGTCCAATGTTCCCTGGATACTGCTAGCAAATCTGTTAGTGAAGGCAAAATGAGGCTTTCTGAACCACTAAGACGATGCTTCATTCAGCATTGCTCACTAGTGACACCTAGCTTACAGCACAAAGAAGTAACAAACAAATTAATTAATTCTGAACCAATGACCCGGGCAAACTGATGATGTCGATATACAAAAAAAGTGTGTTGTGGTTTAGAAAATTCCTCTTTTTAGACAAAACCCCTCCAGCATTGGAAAAGATCCTTTCATAAGGAACAGAGGGTGCTGGGGAATATAAAAATGCCAGTGCCATCTGGTTTAAATGAAGATACTGATGCTTCTATTGAGCCTCTACGGGGGAGGATCTCCTCTTTCTTGCAGGCGCCATTACCAGGAAAAAGCAAACAAATCCAAAAGGGCAGTACAAAGCAAAAAGCAGTCCAGATCCAAAAATCCAAAGCAATCCAAATAATGTTATCTAATTTAATTAATACAACACGACTATAATATAGCTACTACAGTTATTAATAACACTATACTATACGTATTATAACCTGATATAATGTAATAATATACATGACACAATATGACACAATGCCAATGATTTTTCTATCTCTCAGAGTGACTCTCTGACACTACTACTCCTGCAACACCCAGAAGGTGGCGCGAGTTTCGAACAATCCCAATCCGGAAGCGACACTCAGACTGAACCGATGATGATGTTTTCACAGAAACCGAGGCCTCGTTTGTTATTAGACACGTCATTTTCACGTTAACAACACAAGCTTGGAATCGCGGCTTCATCTGGTACACCCATTTTTTCTTGACACAAGCTCTGACGCCTCGGTTTAAATGTCACATCACTAACTGCAGCGATATCGAGGAAGACAAACGTATTTAGTTCGGCGGCGAATATGACGGAAACTCTCGGATTTTACGAGAAACCCGCCGTTATAGACGAGCACGAGCACTCAGGTAACGTTAAGCTTGAGCATCTGACAACTGACCTTCGCCTTTTGCTTCCAACGTGGCATTAGTTTACCTGCTTTACTAAATGGATGTATAACGTTAAGTCTATTAATGTGGCCACAGCTAAAGTGTGTACAATGATGTTTGTGTGAATATTTCGTTTTCTTACTAAGCAGTCATTGAAACCAGTTCTAAATTGTTTTGTTGTTTTGTTTTATTCATTCAGATATCAACTTTGTCTATCCACATGATAGTCTTAAGTGCTCATGGGAAGCCTGAGTGGGTCATTTGAGGTCTTTGAATAATTTCTCTTAAACAGCCTGCCTGGTTCTGTTCCAAAGTGGTGTTAGGAACACTTCCAGAGAGAAATGTGCACTGAAAAGCTGACCAAGGATGTCCTCTAGCTCTGCCCTATGTAACCGCTACAGTACTGCAATGAGTGGACAATTTTTATTTGTATTTTATTTATTATCTATCTAGGGGGATACATGAATGCCCGTTGTTTTTATTGTGATATTGTTTTATTTTGGGCATCCTAAAATCAATCCCCCCCAAATATGTTTACAAGTATCTAATATTAAAAAATAAATCATGCAAATGCAGCATATGCAGCCTAATGTTGCTGAAAAGATCAGTAGTGCACTCCAAACTCATCTTTTCAATGATCCACAACCCTCAAATGGTATTCTAGTGGTACACACAGTAAAAATGGATTAATATTACCTCACATGAACTAACCATGAGCAATTCATTTGTTACTGTTTTTGTTAATCTTTGTTAACGTTAGTTAATAAAAAGTATAATTCATTGTTTGTTCATGTTAGTTCACAGTGCATTAACTAATGTTAACAAGATATTAATAATGTATTAGTAAATGTTTAAATGAATATGAACAAAGATTAATAAATGTATTAGTGCAGGTCATTATTAGTTCATGCTAAGTAATGTAGTTAATTAATGACCCTTATTGTAAAATGTTACAAAAAATATATAAAATTATATATATATATATATATATATATATATATATATATATAGGCTATATATGAGAACCCAAAAACCAGCTTCGGTACTTGAACTTATGAGGGGGCAAAAATGTTGTGTGCGCTTTCACCAAACAAAATAATACAATAAGTTCTATATTCAAATAATATTTTTACTTGTTTATCCAAGTTCAATAAGCTTGTATTTTAAGTAAACATGAGCATTGACATTATTAAAATTGTAAATAGATAACAGAATGTCTATTATCTGTTGAGAAGGCTGTTGTCAAACTTTGCACCCAAAATGTCTGTATAGTTATTTTTGCTTATCACCATTAGTTTTCTCACCACTCGCATGCACGTCACTTTTCCAGTTCATTGGAATAATTATTTTGTCTGTTATGCATATATGTGATGTTTGTAATTTTGCAAAAAAAAAAATTGCAGAAATGCTAAAATGATTCTATGTTGATCACCATTTTAAATGTTAAGCCTTTAATAACATTGAACCGCTTATTTGGTCTGTACCCCATAGACCTGGATGACTCTGACGAGCCGTCTCTGTTGAGGTTCATGTGTGCCGAGATGACCAGGGGTTACTTCCTGGAGCACAACGAGGCCAAGTACACGGAGCGGAGGGAAAGGGTGTACACCTGCATGAGGATCCCCAGAGAGCTGGAGAGGGTGGGTCCCACAATTCTGTTTCTTTCTTTTGAGGTGTAAACCCAAAGGAACATCCATGTGAATTGAGTAAATCCGAGGACAAATTGCGGCATTTTCAAATACAAATACAAATACAATACAACACATGTATTTCATGCATGGATACTTTTCCAAATATTTAAAGGGTTTGTTCACCCATAAATTAAAATTCTGTCTCCATTTACTCAATCTTTGTCATTTGTTTAACACAAATGAAGATATTTTTCAAAAAGTTCATAAAGAGTCTGTAAAACTAATCCGTATGAATCGAGCGGTTCAGTCCAAATTTTCTGAAGAGAAAATTTCCTTTATTTTTCACCTTTTCTTAACAAACACAATAAAAGTGTTAATTGCCACCAGGTGGAGATATTGAGCTATTGGAAACAGATATTGAGTTATTGAGGGATGGTCAAATATGTATTGATTCATATAGTTTATATCACATTTCATATTTTCTCATAGCATTTTTCTCATCTGATTCAAATAATGTATATCAGATTTCATATTTTCTCATTGCATTTTTCCATTCACCTCAAGACCCCAAGATCACACTCGCACTACTCAGGTTTGTGTGATATGTTGACAGCTGAGGTATGTGCACACAAAGACGGCTCTGTGACCCTGAAGTCGCTCCGCCTCTCAAACCCTAGAAATAGCTCAGCAAACTCTCCAAACACCAGTTTGTTCATTATGTTTCCAGTGCACAGATGAGAGGCTAGATCTGGAACTACTGATTCCTGGTCAGTACAGACAGACGATTTACACGCTTTTCTGGAACTAACATGCACTCAGTCAATGATGAGCTTCATAATAGATATCCACCTTCATTCAGAATGATCGCTGCCTGCCAGTTTGTTTTCTCTGAGCAGGTAAGGCTCATGCTTCCTTCATCTCGCAGGGCTCAACTATAAAGATGGCTGATGGGCCCTGGTTGATGAAACTGGCACTTGACTGTATTGACCAGTATTTTGTTGCCACTATAGTTTACCCAACATGTTTGGTCCGATTCTCACTATTTACTAGTTGTTTATGCATATTTTGCTATCATGCATATTACAGGGAATCTGGGATATTGGCTGTTTATTAGTAATTATAAAGCACATATTAATGCCTTATTCTGCATGACCATTATTCTACATCACTTAATCCTACCAATACCATACACTTAACAACTACCTTACTAACTATTAATAAGCAGGAATTTACAGTTTATTGAGGCCGAACAAATCATTGTTTGGTGTACTATCTTTTTTTTTATTTCTTTTTTTTTATAATATATATATATATATAATATATATATACATTTGTAATGATTACCGAGCTACACAACTGTATAGTTCATGGTATTATTGCAAAATAAATATAAATAAAAATATTTTATTTTATTTATTTGCTTATTTTCATTTTTGTTTTTGTTTTTGAGAGAGAGGTCTGTAAAAGTATTGTCTCATCTCCAAACAAGCACTCCCTTTTATAGCTGCTCCCTAAGGATTCACACTCAGACTTTAAAGAGCCAGTTGCTTGTGGTGTATGTTAACGTTTTAATTTGTTCCTAATGGTCTTTCTCTGAACGAAGGAATGCCTTCTGAAGATGAAAAATATTTTAAGGTTACGGAGTGCTGGCGGACATATTCAAAGCCTCCTTCAACACTTTACATGCTTCAGTGCGCTCAAGCATGTGAAGCATCAGGATTCAGGGCTGAGGGGTTTCTTAGTATGATTTCTGTGTGGTTTCTGTATAACATGACTGAATGCAACTAAACATATTGCATATGTGAGTGCATGTGCTAACAGCACTGTTTGTGTCTTCCTACAGTTGATGATCTTCGGGGTCTGCCTGTGTCTGGATGCCTTTCTGTACGTGTTCACTCTGCTGCCCCTGAGAACTCTACTGGCCTTCCTGAGGGTGCTGACGATACCCTGCTGCGGCCTCGGGTAACACACACACACACACACACAAAACTCATTTATCTTCAAAAAGATATACTCCCAATAAAAGATTTTTTTTAATGGTTTTAAAGTATTATGCTCACCAAGGCTGCATTTATATGATCAAACATAAAAGTTGTTGATGCATTGTGAATAATATCAGAATCAGATTGTGATTGTTTTTTTTTTGTGTACGTTCGTTCTCTGAATCACATGTACGCACATTGGAGGAATGATCTTAGGATGAAGTGTTGGACAGTTTCTTACCAACATTTTATAAATGAAGCCCCAAATCTTCCTCTCTTTTCTCATTCTGCTTTGATTATGCCATGTTCGTAATGAACAATTGTGTATTGACATTTCCTCAAATCAGAGTGCAGTAAAGTGCCTAATGTGTGCCTCTCCCTCCTCCCTTCAGCGCTAACGTTTGCCCTTATTGCAGACGGAGCAGGTAGGATGCCTGCCTTCAACAACTGTGACCCATTCTTCATTCTGTTTGATCCATATATTTTATATAAAGAGCATGTCACTGTAGCATTTTCCAGCCTGGTAGGGTGTATATGTCACTGCCCATGATAACTCTCTTCATTGAATGGTTTAGCTTACGATATGACGGTGCAGTCATATTAATTTTAAATGTCAGCAGCTGGCATGTGAAGTGCTTGAATTTTGAACTGTTAAGTGTCTCGTCTGGCTGTGTTTGCGTTTCATTTCTGTACAGCGTGACTTGAGTGTGTGTCTGGTACCTGTATGACATTGAAGTGCTACATTATATGCCATCCTACTGAAAGAAAAAATATAGTTTGGTCAGTTTACTTTATGCTGGTATGTTGTTGTCTAGTCACCTGCCATAACCAATAAGCTAGACTAACTTAAGATCAGCAATCCTCTATAGACTGGTTTATACAGTTAAAATGTGTTTTTTCTCTCTCTCTCTCTCTCTCTGGTGCATTTGGTGGCAATCTCTTGAGTCATAGCAGCTTTTCCCTTTGCTTTATCAAACAGCAAAGAGGTTTAACTGGATTATCAGATCCATAGCTACACTTTAAGATTTTATTAATACCTCTCGGTCATATCTCCAGTTCCAAGAGATTGTTAAAAAATATTTTGAAAAAAATGTTAAATTTACTGCTACTTTTTGGATCCTTTACAATGGATGAGAGAGACCTTTCAGTAGCCTTTGAGATGTTACTGTTCATTTGCAAAATTAAAACCATTTAACATTTAAATTCTCATTACCTCAACATTATTCTAGGATCGAAACGCCTTCTTACACTTAAGCCTGGCACTTTAGCACAAGCAGAAGCTCTCGCAGATAAAAGACTAATATCAGTATGTGTGCAGTCTTTGCTTACTTAGAGACAGATTTCATATCCCAGATGGCATCTTTGAGTACTTTCTATGAGTTACAACTTATGTAAAAAGTCCAAATATAGTTTATCTTTATGTATTTTGGTAATATAGTATTTGAGCATCTCAGTTATACTCAGAAAGTAAACAAATTCTGCTTTGTCATTTCAATATTTTAAATAGGTATAAATAAATAACACTAATATTTAACAAGGATGCTTTAAAGTCCCTCTGTAGTCAATAATTGTATCCCTTAAAACTCATCATTGATCACCAAAATTACCAAAATGTTTTTTCCTTGAAAAAAATTCTTCATTCCTTAAAATTGTTTGAATGTAATCAACACCCTTGCCTCAATTAGTATACATCAGGGATGTATTCACGTCTTAATGCTGTTCTTTTGAACTTTATATATTTATCAAAGAAAGCTGAAAAAAATGTACTGAATCACTGTTTTCACAACTATTTTTAACATTAATAATGAAGTTCATATTAGTATGAACATATTAGTATGATTTCTGAAGGATCAATTATGCTCAAAATTCACCTCTCAGGAAAACATTACATTATAAAATATATTAAAATAGAAAATAGTCCTTTTAAATATTTCATTTTGATAAAGTAAATTCTGCCTTGGTGAGCATAAGAGACTAATTAAAAACATATATCTATCTATCTATATGTTTATATTTTTCAGCTTTCTGTTGCCAGTTCTCGGTCTTGCCATTTTCCTGAGGATGTTTATGTAGATTCGTCCTCGTGAGTGGGAGTGTGATGCCTCAAGTAAAAATGAAACGTGTCAAAATTTTTTCCTTTTTTATTCTCCTTCCCACACCCTGGGTGCAGAATCTTTGCTTTAAATCACAGCTCTGCTCCTCAAATAAATCTGATACCTTCTGTTCATTTGTCTACTGCTGAAAGTGTCTGTGAACTGTGAACTAAGCAGGGTGTGGTAGATGTCAGTGCTAAACTCTCATTGTCTGTACATGAGGACCACACATCAGACATCTGCATGGGTTTTGAGTTGTTCCATGATGTTTTTCTCCATCTGGGATTTTCTCCAACTACTGACACTTTTGACCTTGTGATGTTTATTAATTCCCTTTAAACACACTCCTGGTTTGTTTTCAAGATGCACAGAAAAACAATCATGTAAATCCTTTTCACACACTAATCGTTGAATATTTCACGTGTTTGCATCATTATCGTTGTAAAAATTCAAATAGGCTTTCATATTTAATGATTTAAATCTAAGTCTTGGATATTATATGTTGATGTGACATTCAAGTGTGTTAGTTAGTCCCTGGACTGTAGTTGAAGAAATGCCCATCTGTGTGTTTCTCTAGTTTGAAAGAAACCCAAAGCATTACGTCATGGTCTCATTTTGTAAACTCATAAGGTTTATTTATAATGAATGTATTAAGTAAGCGTTCTCCGCAGTTTGTTCTGACTCTCAGGCCTGTTTAATATTCTTCTGCTGTGTTTGTTTGTTTTTACCAGTGGCTCTCGGTTCCTGCAGCCGGCTCAGGTGTGTGACCTGCTGAAAGGTTTAATCATGGTGCTCTGTTACTCCATGATGCACTACGTCGACTATGCTATGATGTACCACCTGATCCGCGGCCAGTCGGTCATCAAACTCTACATCATCTACAACATGCTGGAGGTATATCGAGCTGCTCTTTTGGATCATGTTATTAAGAAATCATTCTCTATCCACACTTGGTTTGTTTCAAACCTGTATTCTGAACTTGTGGACACGTTTTCTCGCAGCATTTATATATAACAAAAAGCAGCATACAGCTTTGGAACAACATCAGTGTCTGTAATTAATCACATTTTCATTTTTGAGTGAACTATTCTTTAAATATCTGTGTTATTTCATCTCTCAGGTGGCAGACCGTCTGTTCTCTTCTTTTGGGCAAGACATTCTGGATGCTCTCTACTGGACGGCCACTGAGCCAAAGTCACAGAAGAGAGCCCACATTGGAGTCATCCCTCATTTTTTCATGGCTGTCTTCTATGTCTGTATCCTTTTCAGTCTACAGTGCTTAGGATACTTGAGACAATTTTGATATTGCAAATTAGAACCCATTTGATCAAATGTGTCATGATTTAGTGTAGGTCTCATTATTCTTTAATTCTATATTAATGTTGATAGAGGTGTGGTGTGTTTGTAATTTAACACACCACATGAAACCCTGTTCATATTTCTTATCAAAACAGAATTTCCTGCCTGAACTTTCAAGAATCTGAATAATATTCTGTTGAAACTGATTAAATATATTGCAACTTGTAGCACCATAACATATCCATGACAAAAGTAGTTCAATATAATTGTTTTCCTCAGTGAATATTTGTCTCAGTTCTGCATGCCATCCTCATCATGGTCCAGGCCTCTACTTTAAATGTGGCCTTCAACTCGCATAATAAATCTCTGCTCACAATTATGATGTCTAACAACGTAAGTGTACACACACACAACACACACACACACACAAACTCATTCTGCAAATGACAGAATTTTCAAATCTTAGTTCAAGAACGATTGTGTCACATTTAGAATTTTGCAATCATGGTTTTTACAGGCATGTGTTCATGTTTCAGTTTGTGGAAATCAAGGGAAGTGTGTTTAAGAAGTTTGAGAAGAACAACCTCTTTCAAATGTCTAACAGTGGTGAGTTTTAAAACCAAGTTATATTAGTTATTTAAATGTGTGTGTGTGTGTGTGTGTATATATATATATATATATATATTATGTATGTGTGTGTGTGTGTGTGTATAAAAAATATATATAGAGTATCATTTTTTTTTAAATGTGTGTGTATATATATTTTTTAATTTTTTATGTATACTCTTATTTAGCAAGGGTGCATCAAGTTAATCAAATGTGACAATGAAGACATTAATAATGCTACAAACATTTTCCATTTTGAATAAATGTTCGTCATAGAAAAACTAATGTGTGGAAACAGTTTCCATGTTTCCACAAAAATATTAAGCAGCACTACTATTTTCAATATAGATTATAAGAAGAAATGTTTCTTGAGCACCAAATCAGCATATTAGAATGATTTCAAGGATCATATAAAATTATTGACTCATTACTGGCGTAATGGCTGCTGAAAATTCAGCTTTCCCATCACAGGAATGAATTAAATTTTAAAATGTATTCAAATAGAAAGGTTATTTAAAATGGTAATTTCTGTTTTAACTGGATTTTTGATCAAATAAATGCAGCCTTGGTGAGCAAAAACATTCAAATTTGACTAACCCCAAACTGATGAATAGTAGTGTAAGTCCTGGTACTCTGTGATTTATTATGTTCATCGTGTACGTTGCTATTTGAGTTGCTGCAAAGAATACTTCGTTATAACCATGCAAGATTTCCAAAACATAATGGTCATACCCATTTGTGCAACACATTTTTATGTGGATTATACACAGTCAGGAAATATTACAGCAGTGCACTGCCTCAGTTCTGGTTATTCAAAATAACTACCAAGCTGTACATTATTATAATCACTTTCTCTTTCACTTCGACTCTTTGATCGACAAGCAGGTGAAGTTGTGTGTGGGCTGACTCAGAAATATTACAGCATCCTTTTGAAATGCTAATCAAAGCTCACTAGAGCTTTCTGATAACACTCTGAGATGCTGACAGGCTGTGGTGCGTTTGAGGTCCTCTTTCCTACAGAGCTTTTATGAATACTGTAATCAGCACCTATTCTGCCTTCCGCTGTTTACTCTCTCTCCACCTTTAAGTGGCCACTACGTCTTGCGGTCGTCCATGATGGAAGAAATCCTCAAGTTACTGTTCATACACAATCTGCATGCGTTGTACGGATTACCGTCCTTTGAAGTCTTACAAGCTAAAAGCTTTATTTGTTGAATGGTTTCCCCTCACATTTTGCAGGAGAGTGGTTTTGAGAATATAATAAGATGTGCAGACATTGTTGCTCATGTGTTGGTTTTATATTTCTGTCTTGCAGATATCAAGGAACGGTTCACCAATTACGTATTGCTCCTCATCGTGTGCCTGAGAAACATGGAGCAGTTTTCATGGAACTCAGGTCTTGATTATGACTAAAAAGGCAGACATTTTTAAAGTAGAATCTATTTTCTTTTTAGTCTAGTAGTTGGTTTATTGTTGTGCCAGAATAAAGCTTTTGGTTTTTTGGCATCTTTATGAGGCAGATCCAGGCAGATTCATAGTGGCTGTGATACTTGCTTAACCTACTATTTCAAAAATGCTTGGTTAATCTGTTAATAGTGTTGATATTGCTTGCAGATCACCTCTGGGTTCTGCTTCCTGATGTCTTCATGGTCATCATGTCTGAGATTGCGGTTGACATTGTCAAGCATGCCTTCATCACAAAATTCAATGACATCACTGCTGATGTAATTTGTTTTTCAAAGATAATCGATCTCAAGACCACATGTACATATCACTAGACATGGCCAGATATTGCACTAAAATATACATAAACACAGGCAACACATTAACCATTATGTGAAACCATGATTTCCATGTTCTTTAGGTCTACAGTGACTATAAAGCCAGCTTGGCCTTTGAACTTGTCAGCAGTCGACAACAAAATGTAAGTGATCATTTATTGTCTGATTTGTGAATGTAATATGTAACTATATTTATCTGTAAATACTTTTTATTTGAAAAAGAAATCTGACAGCACTAGTATCTGTAAACAGCATAAAATGGCAACAAAAAATAAGGAAAATAATAGAATTCAAATGCGGTTTATTCACGGACAGGCCTACACAGACTACAGCGATTCAGTGGCGAGAAGGATGGGCTTCATTCCTTTGCCTCTTGCTGTACTGGTGAGAAAATATTTCACTTATTTAGCTACTCCTGTTATTTTAATTATTATTTATGTATTTGTAATGCTTATTAAAGTATCATGTTAGATTCCCAACATGCTTATTCCAAACTGTAAAATGACACATTAAACAACAAATGATATTTTACTGATACTGAGGATATGGTTTTGTTTTCTGTATCTCCTTCAGTTGATTCGGGTGGTGATGAGCTCAGTGAAGATCCAGGGCGCTCTCTCATCTGTCTGTCTGCTCCTCTTTTATCTTGGGTAAAATCAATTACCTAATTGTAGGCATCACATAAACTATTATGTTTACTGCATAACTCTTCTTGCAACCCAATCTCGACAGACCTAGTGTTTGAATGTTTTCCTGATGTGTACGGATATAGTCAGTAAATGGATTCTGAGAACAGTTTTGGGCAGTAATACAAATATAAAGTCAATTTCTCAGTAGAGGTGGTTGTGCCAGTATAGTTTTCATATCATGTAGTGAAAGTTTTTTAAACATTATTGTTCAAGTTTTGGGGCCAGTAATGTGTTAAGAAGAAATTAATAATTTTATTCAGCCAGGGTGCATTGAATTGATCATTTATAGTAAATACTATCCTCCTAACATTTCAAAAGATTTCCATTTCAAATAAATGCTGGTCTTTTGAAGGATGAAAGATCAAATGAAGGATCATGTGACACTAAAGACTGGAGTAATGATGCTGAAAATTCAGATGAATAAATTGTTCAAATATATTAAATTGTAATATTTCACCAAATTACTCTTCTTACTATATTTTTGTTTAAATAAATGTTGTCTTAACAGAAATCTTACAGACCCCAAACTTTCGTGTACACGTCAGTGTATTTTAAGTTTTACTACAACATTTCCTAATGTAGTGAGGAGGATAGCTCACTACATAATGTAGTCTGACCTGCTACTTTCGCTAATTATTCTGTAGAGTACAGTAGTTTGTAACATTTTGGCAGTATTGTGTGAGTAGCCTGCTTGAAACAAGCTTGTTTTAGGTTTTAGCTTTAATCTTTTTACTTGTTTGGTCTGATTCTGCAGATTGATAACACTGAAAGTCTTGAATAGTATAGTTATTCTGGGAAAGTCCTGTCGATATGTGAAAGAAGCTAACATGGAGGGTAAGCTGTTTGAAAGACCGACTGCTCAAACCTCAAAGCAAACTCCCAAGAAAGCCAACCCTGCCAAATCTCCCCCACCCTCAGGTAACACCAGTTTGGATTATTCAAGTTATTCTGTCGTTCTGTTCTAAACACGTGATGTTTGGGGAGAGTTTTTAAAGAATCATGTTTCTTTTCTGCTTTGTTTCTTTACCTCTGTTTTTAGCTGAACCTGAAGTTCAGCAGCCCTCCACCTCCATCACCAAACAGCCGACCCCCAGGGTGAAGCCTTTTCCCCCGGCTCCACCCCTTGTAACTGTGGTGGCCAGTGATCCGCCACCAGATTCTCCCCCTAAACCAGAGGAGAGCAGCAGCGAGACACCACAATCTACTGAACTTAAACACAGAACCACAAATAAAGATCTGTTGGAGATCGACCGCTTCACAATATGTGGCAACCGAATCGGGTGAACTTTAACCCCATCACCACAGTAACTGCTCAGGAACGAAAGTCGAGGAGACTCAGGAGTATGAGTCTCACATAATTGCGAGGGGCTTTCGAGTGAGTTCTTCAGAGGTTGCTACTATTTATCGCTAACTTCTATTCCTGTGGAATATCTAAGGAATCAGATTGAGTACGTAAAGCATTTCAAATCAAAACAAAGACTCTGTTCACCCTCGGCAGGCTGGCACATCACATGGACTAGAATCCAGTAAATGTTGCTCTAGGATATGTTTGTCTCGATTTTTATCCGAGACGGAACATATTGAACAATAAATGAGGCATGAACGTCTTACAAACTAGACTCTTCCCACTCAAAATGAGTAGAAACTAAAAAACATGAATTATATATTTATTTTTGAACATCTGATTCAGATTAATAGATGCATTTCTATTTATTGACACTTTTGGCATAGAATATTATGCTAAACAGATTTGCCAATAAGCTGCCATTAGATTTGCTCAGTCTGCCAAATAATTGTTTTTAGAAGTTGTAAAGGTGTTATTTGGTTTGATAGATTACTGTGTGTTTTTTCATTGTCTATTTAAAAGAAAGAGAAGGTTTGTCTAGCCTAACACCAGGCTGCTTGATAATTTAGCTCTAGATAATATACAAGGTGCCAATCCAGCAGACTTAACTTTGCACTGATTTGCCATATTGTCTTAAGCGGTACAGAGTATTTTTGTTTTGTTTATGAGTATGATATTGACCTGTTTACACCAGCTATGAAAGAGCAATTAACTGTTTCATATGAAGTGAAACATAAAATAGGAGTGTGTTTTTTTTTTCAACTCATCTGTGACCAATCATATTGTTTGACCAATATAATGATTTTGTTGTTTTAAATGTAAGTAAATTATTATAGAGTGATTAATAGTTCAATGTCATGTTTATAGTATTTTATAATGTTGCATAGAAGTTGATTTAGCAATGAGCAAAAGCCTGTGCAGCCTGTCAAGAATTTACCTCCTGTATACAGTCATGTGGTGCAGTGGTACCCAAAGCCATGTGACTTAAATGGATATTCCGTCGTTCTCTTTTGACTGAAACTCTTTTTTAATTAACTTAATAGAAGTGTTCCTGCCATATTTTGAAAGTTGTGTCATTTTCATTTCAGTATATTGTATTTTGTTCTGTTATCCTTGTAAAAATTGGAAGACGAATTTTGAAAAGATTCTGAACAGGGTTGCACAGGTTGTTATTCTTATTGTTTTTAAAATGTACCGTAAGGCTAAAAATTGGTTTCATACGTAAAGGGTGACGACGACTCAAATTTTTATGTAATGCCATTTTTGGGATGGCAAATAAAAGTTGTTTTGCAATTTGTGCCTTTATGTTTTTTTGACAGTCATCTCTTGAATTTTTGTTTGGTGAATACCATTTTTATTCACCTTTTAGTTTTGACAGTCCATGTTATGCTCTGGTTTAAACAGTATCAGGGAGCCTGAGACTGTAATCTGCCACTTTGTGACCTTCACTCCCACAGAATTTACAGACTGATGGACAGCTAGTAAATCCGCCCTCAGCCGTCGCCAGCATCTCCATGTTCATGAGGTAATTTTCGCCTCCCTTACACCCACCACAAACCTCCCTTGTGACCTACAGATACCTACTTGACGCTTAGACATCGAGGAGGTAGAGCAGTAGGTTGTTTCTAAGGCAACTGTATGGCCATTTGGCTTTAGAACAAAGAAATCCTCTTGTAATTTTACTCTTGAGTATCTATCAAGTATATTCTGTGTATCAATATAGATATCCTAGGTAGTATTTTATCAAAGTATGTATGTTAATGAGAGTTTTTTTTTTTTTTTTTTTTTGCTGGACCACCCAGTGTATTTGCCCACTGATGCGACCATGGTAATCTGTCATCTTACTGTTTGCCATGTCGGAAAAGGATTGTTCCTTCTCCAAACAGATCGTCAGGGTTTTGACACTGTTGGATTTTGCCTTTGTTTGGCAATGTCTGACACACAGAACATTCTGCAGCCATTGCATTCTTTACAGAATCCTTTAATCCATTGCAAGAAAGAGAATGTAATCATGTGGATTCCAGCTCTGATATCATGTACTCCCAGTTCCAGCATTCTGAACCTTCACATTCTTAATGAATTAAGCAGTTGTTTCCTAGGCTATAGGGTATAGTGAAGGAATAACATTCCTGGTGCTAAATTTAAGGCCATTTGCTTTAGTTGGATTTTGATTCCATTGGCTTTTTGGAATTGCACAGTTAGAGAGGTGACCCAGTTATGAATGATAACTGTTATCTAACATAATGCTGTCATGTTAAATTGGTCTGTGGTGATCGATTAATGAGTTAGCTGAGTAATGTAAAGTACTCTCCATGTGTCGGCTTATATGAATGAAATACATTAAAGGGTTAGTTCACCCAAAAAATTCTGTCAGTATTTACTCACCCTCATGTTGTTCCAAACCTCTATGTGTTTATTTGTTCTGCTGAACACAAAGGAAGATATTTGGAAGAATGTTTTAATCAAACAGATCCCAATCCCTATTGGCTTCCATAGTAGGAAAAAATACATACTATGGTAGTCAATAGGGATTGAGATCTGTTTGAATAAAACATTCTTCCAAATATCTTCCAAGTACTTTCTGGTCTTGTTTTCAAACATTTAATGCCTTAATAAAATCTTAGAGAAATCAAATGAGTCATATTGTTGGAGATCTGAGCCCACTCAGTGGGTGAACTTATTTGGCTAACACATGAAAAGCTGGGAAATTAGATACAATTCATAAGTTTGAAATAATCATCCTCATGTGTTTTGCTTAGGATACCATTCATATATTCCCTGTGCTGCAGATTTTGACTCTGGGCCCCAGAGTCTGGGGACCGATTTTTCAGGATTTCCATTTATAAGTTGTATTGTAGGGCTTGAACAATAATTTTATTAACCCTCCCATTTCCTCATGATTTCAGTGATGGGTTATAATGTGTGGTATATATGACTACCGGTATGTTTGTGACAGGAAACAATGTTCTGGGACCAACAAAAGATGCTGATCAGGATGATATTCTACCTGACATAAGGAAGATGTTCGTTTTTCATTAATGATGTTTCCACCAAGATGTAAATAGGCCTAAGATTTTACTTCAGAATAGGAAACTTTCAGAGTCTGTTTAATTACATTTTTAGAGTATTAAGTTTCCACACAAAGAATTATAATAACAATGCTAATGCTATTTTGGTTCAATTAAGAGACATTTTTACAATGAAATAGTTCAAAAAATGGCTATCAGGGCCATAGACTACATTCATTTTGATCTTTAAGCATAATGTTTATTTTGTTGAGTGAGACAACCCATGCTACCACAAAACATATTTTATTAAATATTTATGTTTGTGTCGTTTTCTAAAAAAAAAAAAAAAATCCGTTGCTTAGAGGATGATGTCATTACTTTTTTGATTAGGGAGCTTTTAAAAATAACGGAAAGTTGTGGAATTATTTAAATAGCCTATGAAGAAGAAGAAGAAAATCCCTCGAGTCAGTAGGATACACCATTAAGGACAACGGGGTGATTAAAAAGTCACATAGTCTTTCATCAGTGTTTGAAAGTGGTAAAGATGATAGAAACTGCCTAAATTAAATCATCGCGTCACTGATCTTTAGCACCCGGCAGGCGGAGCACGAGCAAAAGCGAGTGTGTGTTCACTCTCACCTCACTGGCTCACGCTCACCAGCCGTGTTATTATAGCAGGGCATCTCTGACTGGCCGACAGAGAGACGCGAGGTGAACCTGCAGGAGCCGCTCGCAACGGGGGGACCATGGTCATCATGAATCGCTCGCCGGATTGCAGGACTTGAGACCTGCGGTTTATCCGGTTTATTCTGTACACCCAGAATTTCCTCCACTTCCATCATCTGGAATTGCTTTAACACTAGAACTAATCATGCTGTGGAAAACGGTACTGATAATTCTGTGCTGGGGCTTGACGTCCGGGGAACTCCAGGACGGGCAGCCCGGCACTCCTGCTGCTCCAGCGCGGAGAACTTTGGATTTCGGCTCCGTCCCCTCCGGAGTTTACGAGACCGTCGCCTATTACGAGCCAGGGGCCATTGGGATTTTATTTAACATGATGCACGCTTTCCTCTATGTGATTCAGCCTAACCCATTTCCTGAAGGTGAGGTCAATCCTGTGATTTTCTTGAACTTTTGGACACCTTTTAAGAATCAATTTTATGTTTCCCTCACTTACTAATTAATTTGAAGCAGGTTATTACCATTTGCTACCACACTATTTCTCCAACAGCATCTACCATATCATGAGGAGTAGTCTAGTGTGAGAGAGCTGCCATATCTCTCCATGGTGAATAAAATGGTGTGAGGGGTTACCTTTGGCTGGTCTGGCAAATTCTCGACCCACCCCCACTGTGTTCGTCATTATTTGTTTAATCTTGAGATTAAGATTGTGAGTGACCCTGTTGAGTCACTATCCTAATGAGCTAAAAGGCTAATCTTGAATGCCATATGTTGCTGCGCTTTTATTTTCCAGCATGCCACAGGTGGATATAACCTGGTTCCTGGAGGGACCCAAAACAAACACAGTACACACACATAGTAGATTTTGGAGAACTTTACTAAAGAGCTGATTTGTTGGATCAGGTGCTTGATAAGGTAGACATCCTAAATGTGTGCTATTGGTCATCCTTTAGAAACAGGGTTGGGAAGGGCAGGTATAATCAACAATAGAAGCCACCAAGCACCCTCACTCTTATAAATAAAAGTGCCAAAAGAAAGCTTTTCGCTGCAAAATGCCATTGAAGATGACATTTTTTTTCCTTAGCATTAAGAACATATAATCGGAAGAACCGCTTTCCACTATATAGAACATTTTATCCAATGGAATGATTCCATTGATGCTAAATGTTCATCATGGAATTGTAGATGCTAATAAAGAACCATTTGAGTGTATAGATCTTGCAATAATTTTGCAAGGATTATGCTTTTTTTATTCTAAATTTCCAAGGTTATAATTCCTTCTTTTTCTGCGGCTCGTTCATTTTTCATCTAGTAGTGATGGCCCCCCTCTAGCAGTAGGTCCAAGTCATCCGTGCATACGTCTTCTGAACGCATGCAACACTGTCGGCATCTTGTTTTAATTTCTCCTCCTTCGTTCTCAAATAAAAATAGCCACAGCTGTAGCCTTTCGGCAAACTAATTAGAATGATAAAAGCTCTCTGACAGGCCTCCAGTATATGATAATTCAGCCCGCTGCGTTTGATTTGCAGTAAAGAGACAGCTGCGGCAGTCTCGTCATAACTCCAATCCTGCTTGATTTGTTCTCTGCCACTATGTTTGTGCCATTCTTGGAAGTAATTTCTTAGCGTGGATTTTCAGGGCTGATTTAAGAAGCCTGGTCACGTCACACCTAGACAGACGTCCTCAAATCCTTTGATCCTTAAATCTGAATGGACATTGACAAGTGAAAGTAAGGACACTGATGTGAGATGGTAACCCTCTGTCTCCTTCAAAAGAAACAGTGTCTTTACTTTAGATCTACAAAACTACTTGTAAGATCAAAGCTTGCTGGGGGACGACGGTTCGGTAATGGCCTATTAATTGCTCAGTGTGGAGGTCTCTGGTTTCGCAGAGTTATATTACCAGGAAATATATTAGGGAGCACTTCTTTGTTCCCAGACATTGACCTGGCTGTCATGACTGCCACCTTTGGTCTCTCTCTCTGTTCCCTGAGCCTTAGGCTGTATCTCATTTTGCTCCTCAAAGCAAATTTTTGTCTTTAAGATGGTGTGTCATTTCAATAGCACTATTGAATGTTAAAGTAATGATTGTTTCTGTACAGGTTTATCAAACATTTCCCACATATGCCACTGGTCGTGTAAAACTGGGTTCAGACTACAGGGATTTCGGGACAATTTATGCCCGATTTCCCCCTCCCGAAATCGTGCCCATGGCATCAATCGGTTCCGATGTTTGATATTTAGAATTTTAAATAAGGATGAATACGACTGATTACGTTAGTACTTCCACAATAGCCAATAAGAGACAAGTGTACAAGGAGACGCGACAACTTTTGAAATGGTGACCATGAAAGCTGTACGGGTCCAGTGGACAACCGAGACGGAGAAAAAAATCATAAACTGAGATGGATAAAAAAAATCATTTTATTTTTCAACAAAAAAAAATTATTTAGCAAAGATCAGAAGTGGCTGTAAAGACATTTACAAAAATTTTATTTATTTTTGTAAAAAAAAAATATTTGTAAATATTTTTGACATTTATTTTTCAAAGAATTTTTTTATTTAGCAAAGATCAGAAGTGGCTGTAAAGACATTTACAAAAAATTTTTTTATTTTTGTAAAAAAAAAATTGTAAATATTTTTGACATTTATTTTTCAAAGAATTTTTTTATTTAGCAAGGATCAGAAGTGGCTGTAAAGACATTTACAAAAATCAATTAATTTTTATTTTTTATTCATCAAAGAATCCTTAACAAGTGTATCACGGTTTACACAAAAATATTAAGCAGCACAACTGCTTTCAAAATTGAAAATAATAAGAAATATGTCTTGAGCAGAAAATCAGCATAATAGAGTGATTTCTGAAGGATCATGTGACACTGAAGACTGGAGTGATGATGCTGAAAATCAGCGTTATCATAACAGGAATATATTACATTTTAAATTATTTCAAAATAGAAAACAGTTATTTTAACGATATTTCACAATATTACTGTTTTAAAACAAAAGAAAAGACATTTCCCCCCCCCCAAAAAAACACTAAACAAATCTTACCTACCCCCAACTTTTTAAAAATTGTGTATTAGTCGATTATGAATTCCATTAGTGGGCAATTGTAATGTGGGCACCCTTAAGCTCCATCTCAGATTATATGATCCCAAATCTAGCATTCCAGGTGATGAACTGAGTCCATCTGAAGTAGGCGTATGCAGTGGAGGCAGTTGCCAGGGCAACATAAGTTTCTCCCATTGGCCTACATATGTCTGAATGCTGTAGTGTTACAAGGTGTGAATAGCCAGTGCTTTCTGCGAGAAAAGCAGTGCTTTAGTAGATCTTAACAGATCCTTGTTTAACCACAGGACAACCAAGACTAGAGTAATGTTTTTAATGCCAGGAAGTATGCAAAAGGGCTTCTACCAGGGCTATTGTAATTTAATAAAACGTAAATATTTTTGCAGTAAAGTCAGTTGTATATTTTTACATTTTGAATGTATTACTAATTGTTATATGTTGAATTCATGTTTATAAAAAAATGACATCATATGATATCACAACTGTTGCAGTGTCCGAAGAAGTTTTAAATGCTCAAAGTAAAACAAAACAAAAAAAAGACTGAAAAAAGGCTGAAAAATTCAGCCAGCAGGGTTGCTGAAGGATGAAGCCGCAGTGTTGATGGCAGATGGCCGCCAGCTTGCTGTGCTCCCTCTTGCTCCTCTACATCTCGAGAGGCAGTTATGACACTCACTGAAGCTGAGGGGAAATTAAATTGAACTTTTTCCTCTCTATTGCTCCCTTTCCCTCGTTCCATACCCCAGTTATCTCATTCTGCTTGACCTTCTTTCGACTCCTTGCCTCTACTCAGCAAGCCCTCCCATACATATTCATGTCCAAAACTCCTCAAAAGGACTCATATGTGAAGGGTGTTGCTGTTATTGTTATTGTGGCATAAAAAAAAACAACAATAGACAGTCATTACAAATATATTCAATTCTGATGCTAGGGACTTGGACACAAATCCAATTGGATGTAATGTTTAATTCAGAATAGAATGGAATGGAGAAACCTTCAAACTAAGCTGTTGTACTAAATCATATTCATACATTACAATTACACAGAGGGTGTGTGCCAGACTATGGTTGTTATTTTATGAACAGCTGTGAAATGCTTCCCACATATTTGAATGTAGTGAGCATTATTGATGTTTGAGGAGGACGTTGGAGATGTTGGGAGCGTGTGATTTGTCACGTGTTCTCATGACTCCAGCATGACTATGGTGCTCCAGGGACTGGCACATGTCACTAGATTTCCTGGGGCATCTTTAATCCAGCATGAGACCCATGAGCTCCAGTAAACCCACTGCCCAACTGTCAGCATTATCAAAATGAGCTGGCGTCCTAACAATATTGTAAAAAGTAATGTGATAATTTCTCTGTTTCCTGAAATAATGTTGGTGTTTCAGTACCATATTGGTTATAAATCGATATTAGTGGTTTCATTTGTTTATATTTAATTGGTATCACTTTAGTTTAGGGTCCAATTCTGACTATTAACTAGTTGCTTATTTCTATATGAAGCACATATTAATTAGCCTGGCATGCCAGACCTACATCAAGATGTTAGGTCTGGGAACTCATCATTGACAGGGCTCGATCCGAGGGGCGGGATAAACGGTTGTCTTTCAAATTCTCTCTGCATGCAATTGGATAGCGCTACAACCAATCAGAGCAACGAAGAAGGTGACGGCTGAGTCCCATGCTTTTTCCCCATCAGTGTAGCAAGTTCCTGTCTTGGAATGACCAGAAGCCTCGAATTTAGTGATCTTAAGGAACACAATGAATTGTAGGGCGATAGAAGGTCCATTAAATACACAGGAGCTAAAGCATTTAGGGCTTTATAGGTCAGTAGTAGTACTTTGTAATTGATATGGAACTTAATAGGTAAGCAGTGTAGAGATGATAAAATCTGTGTTATGTGATCATATTTTCTTGACCTAGTAAAAAATCTAGCAGCTGCATTTTGCACTAACTGTAACTTGTTTATTGAGGATGCAGGACAACCGGCTAATAAAGCATTACAGTAATCTAGTCTCGAGGTCATGAATGCGTGAACTAACTTTTCTGCATCAGAAACTGATAGCATGTTGCGTAGCTTAGCAATGTTTCTAAGGTGGAAAAAGGCTGTTCATGTAACATATGAAATATGATTTTCGAAAGACAAGTTGCGGGCTAGTTTGACACCCAGGTCTTTTACTGTAGTGGATAAAGTAATAGGACACCCTTCTATTAAAGTTGTTTTGTAAGAGGTTTTGTGTGTAGGTTTTTGCACCACTAAGTAATACCTGAATTTAATAGCAGGAAATTACGCGTTCACTGTGAGAGACACTGTGTCAATTTAGATGAGTTAGTGTTTTCATCTGGTCGTGA